GAGAGAGAGAGAGAGAGAGAGAGAGAGAGAGAATTTTTTAATATTTATTTTTTAGTTTTCGGCAGACACAACATCTTTGTTTTTGTATGTGGTGCGGAGGATCGAACCCGGGCCGCACGCATGCCAGGCGAGCGAGATACTGCTTGAGCCACATCCCCAGCCCCCCATGTGTGCATTGTAATTTTGCACTCTTACAACCAATTTTCTTCCAACCTTCTTTTCATAACTTAATAGTTTCTCTCAATAATTTTTTAGACAGCCAAGCCTAATAACAAAAAACATATTTGGTTTCTGTGCTTGCTTGTGAAATATTAATCAGTGTTACTGTGAACTGTTTTTTTATTTTCTTTTTGTCTCAATTTTCTATTTTTTATAGTGTTTCATTAGGTTCTTCTGTCTTACGTATATTGCCCAACTACAAAGCCACTTTCCAATTTTTGATTTTATGTTATTGCACCATCCCACTTCCAGGTCTCCAAATCTGTATTCTTGCTTGTATCCCATGCAGGAGCTTGCTGAGAAATAAAAGCTAGGAAAAATAGAACAAAAAAATCACAGGACATAGAAAGTAGTTTCAGATGGATCGAGCTTCTAGACTAATGGCAAAATGCAACCTGTGCCTGCTTTATTTATATCAAGAAACATCAAAGGCCTTCCATATAATGTTCTTCACCAAAAAAAGTTGAAAGTGGGTTGTCTCAACAGGTTATGTCCATCTCTGGAGCTATTATGGGCAATGTTCCTAGCAGAGTGGAGATAAAGGTCATGTGCGTTGGGCAATCCATTGCAGTGAGAGAGCCACAGATAGTTCCCAAGGTCAAACTTAAATCTCTCTGGCTTTCTGAGAGAGAATTTCCTCATGTATTTCACGGATGGCTTCCTGAACTGTATTACTTTTCTATTGGCTTAATTGGTTACCTTAAGGTTTATAGTGTTTGACACAATCTACCTTCAAGTGATATTAAATCATTTGACATATAAGAACTTTAATATGTTAGCCCTTCTCAGTCTTTATGCTATTGTTTTCATACATTTTACTACATCTGATATAACCCCCAAATATTTTATTATTAGAATTTCTTTAAAAGACTATATATTTTTTTAAAAAAATTTTTAGTTGGTAGATGGTCACAATACCTTTATGTATTTTTTTAAGGTGCTGAGGATTGAAACCAGTACCTCACATGTGCTAGGCAGGCACTCTACCACTGAGCTACAGCCCCAGTCCCAACTATATTTTTTATAATGTTTATTCTAAACCATTTAACTGTATAGAAGGGCATAGTACTACTTTTTCTATTTTTCAAAGTGTATAATTGATGGTGTCTGTATGATGTGCTTCTAACCCATTTTTCCCATACATCCTGCAGGTTTTATTGCATGTGTTTGCATAGTAAAGTAATTTTCAGAATGTCATACACTACATTACAACAAAACTGACTGTAGTTTATCAGGGTGACTAAATTATTTCAATATATATTAACTTATATACATTTTATACTCAAAAAATACTATTAAAAACAGTTCAACTATAATCACTAATTTTGGTTTGCTTCTGTTTAAATAAGTTTCTTTGAAACATAGTATAGTGACTCTTGGAGTAAAATGGAAACCTTAGTAATGTATATTTTCAAATATTTTCCCACAATTTTTTGTGTACTTAACCATTTATTTCTGTCTTATATAAGATTACACAGAAAAAACATGTAAGTGATCGAACAAAGAAAACTGTAAAAATAGAAAAGAAAAAAGACAAAGAAAAGCCAGTGGATTCAGAAAGGTAAGACAAAGATACATGCTAATATTTTTCTTCTTTATTAATTGAAATTTTTATTTTTATTACATACCAATAATTTAAGGTCATATAAACACGACAGGTTTTTTAAAATATAAAATTAGGAAATAGCTTTATAAAAGACCAGGATATGATTATGGGAAAAATAATCTAATTAATGCTTTGTACTTTGTTAAATCCCCAAATCAAATCCCCAGAATTTATTATTTTCTACTGGAGTTTTTATTTGTATTTATTTTTATAAAATTTAACTTTTATGTATAATGGCATAATTTTGCATGAACATACTTTATATACAGAGTTATGAAAAATGGTGTTGTGAATGGATAATTATGATTGTAATGCATTCCAGTATTTAAAAAATGTAACATGATTAAAATATCCAGAAACATTAAAAAAGTAAACTTTTATGTATATGGATTATTACAAAATGACTTTATTAAATGAATGTTTTCATTAGTATTATAAAATAATCATTCCATTTTAATTTGTTCACATCTTAAAATATAGTTTTTGAAAAGAAACTGTGAATTTATTTTTAAAGAGTACCATGAATGCTAAAAAGAAATTTGTTTCAGTCATCTTTTTTGCTGCTGTGACTAAGAATAAGGACAAAAACAATTTTAAGGAGTTAAAAGTTTGAGACCCAGGGTTTCAGAGGTCTCAGTTCATAGATAGATGATTCCATTATTTGGGGCATGATGTGAGTGACAGAAAAGTGGCAGAGTAAAGCAGCTGGAAACATAGAACCAGTAAGCAGAGAGAACTCTGCTGAACAACGACAAAATATATACCCCAAAGGCATGCTCCCTGATACCAACCTCCAGCTAACCCCTATATGCCTACAGTTACCACCAATCCCTTTCATGTGATAAATGCACTGATTAGGTCAAGCCTTTTATAATCTAATATAAGTCTCTTATAACCCAGTAACTTTGTCTAAACTTTCTTGCATTGTCCCATGCATGAGCTTTTTGGGTAACACCTCACATATAAACCATAACAAAATTCACTGGACAAAGGTTTTTGTCTTTGACTTAGAGAAGAAAAATGATCAGAGAAGAAAAAATGACCAATATTTTTTGAAAATATCAGCACTTCATGTTTTATTCTCTCTTATCTCCCTTCTTCATATTCTTAATTATTCCAGTAAGAAGTTAGCCTGACATGTGTTACTAAATTGTTATCATTTAACCTGTATTGATTTAGTAGCTTTTAAAAAATAAGAATTCTTAAAATTGTTATTCATTTGGAATTCTTTAAAATTCTCTTTAAGAAAGCAAAGCAGTGATGAATTTTAGAATATTATTTACATTTTAGAACATTTTTAATTACAGGGTGTTGTCTCAAGGAATCCAGCTTAAAGTAAAAGAAAGTTTGTTTCAAGTCCAGGTAACACACACTCTCTATAAGTTTATGTCCTTGCATTTGTAGAACTCAGGCACACAATTCATAGAGGCAGTCTGCAGTTCGCAGCTTAGATGAACTTTTCCAAAGGCATGTCATATTATAGCATCATGCTTTTTTTTAATGCCAGCTAGGAATCTCTTTGTCTGCTAACTGATCATGGGGGTGGTATCCCATCACCCTTGATATATAATTTAACATAAGAGAGTAGCATTCCATCACTCCTATATGCTATTAACTAGAAGCAAGTCACGGGTTCTACCTACTTTCAAAGGAAGTGGATTATACAGAGCATTGCCATATTGCTGAAGATCAGGATGCTATCCTTGAATTCTGCCTATGGTTTATTTTAGCTAGCACAGTATTTTCTATATTTAGAAAGAAAAATCTATTAGCTGGACATGGTAGCATGCACTTGTAGTCCCAGCTACTTAAGATGCTGAGGCAGGAAGTCATTTGAGTTGTTGAATTGGAGACCAGACTGGGCAATAACAGGGAGATCCTGCCTCAAAATTTTTTTTAAATAATCAAATTATATTATTAATATTAGAAGTCTTAAGGCTGATTGTACATGGTGGCACATGCCTGTATTTCCAGCAGTTTGGGAGGCTGAGGTAGGATAGTGAGTTCAAAGCCAGCGTCAGCAATGACAAGGTGCTAAGCAACTCAATAAGACCCTGTCTCTAAATAAAATACGAAATAGGGCTAGGGATGTGGCTCAGTGATTGAGGGCCCCTGAGTTCAATTCCTGGTACCCCTCCCTACCACTGTGGCTTAGAGCTGAATCTGCCTAGAAGAGTTCGTTTTCTCATTCATCAAAGACACTCTATCGACTAGCAGTCAATAACCATAGTTGCACCTAACAAAAATTATGCTTAGATAAAATGATATTCAAATATTAGGTTATTCTATTAGCTTTTGATTTTCAGATTATTTGTTAGAGAAATAGAGTGCATTTATTGTAGACAAGCATCTCATTGGATGATTTGCAGCTTTATCATGTGGAGATAAGAAAAGATAATTGAATTTTAATAAAAACTTTTAGAAAATGGAAATATTTATACATATTTTAATATTCCATAGGTTAAATCATGTACACCATATTTTCACACCCCGGATGTAGTTACTTTTATTCCATATTTGTAGAAGAGATATGGAATAAATAGACTAGGTGTACAGAATTATCAAGTATACTCTGGTTGGACTAAATAGTCTAAGGACTCTTTCTTTTTGTAGGTGGCACTAAAATGATTACAAGCACAAATTGAAATGTGATCTTCCCATTGTTTTCAAGGGTCATCACCTTTCTAAAGTGACAGAACTTTTATATATATATCCTATGCATAGTGCCAAGAACTTTGTTTTTCTGCAAAAACTCTTTACTATCTACTCCCAAATGTGAAGTCTATAATGCAAATGTAAACAGTAACTTTAATTACATTCTATATTTCCTTAATAAAATTGAATAAATTTCCTGTATCTTACATAATATATTATATAGGAGGTACAGAACTGAAAAATGCTGATTTTTTTCCCCTGAATTTAAGGTTGCTAAAGGATTTTGAAGCTGAAATATATAACATAAGCATGGGAAACATAATATTTCCAACTAGGTCCAGCAAAATAAATGGCATAGTAGCTAAGAATTTGGAGTTTGAGTAACACTGTGGAAAGATAGAAATAAAGTAGCAAGACTACTTACGGGAAATTCAGTACTTGAGTCTGATAGGAGTTTTGAATTAAACATAACAGTAGTAGGAAGCCTAATAGGTGCCATCAGTAGTTTGAATTTGATTGAGTAGGAAATGGGGTCGTATTGAAGAATATTAGAAATGAGCCACTTGGTATTTTTTATTGATATTATTCTTCCAACTATATCAATGATAAATTTTGGAGTATAGATTGGATTTTTCAATCAGCTTATGGCTCTTATGCATGCTAAACATCTCCAGCCCAAATTATATAAATTTATTAAGATAGAATTATAAATAGCATTACTTATAATCTAAATTTATACTATTGCCAATGAGAAGATTTAATTTTATTTAAAACTAATATAGTGCATTTCTAATCAGAATTCAAAAAGAAATTTTTTAAAAGGGAAAAATACTTTGAAGATTATATACAATTTACCTATAAAGTAATGTGAGAGCCTTCTTCTTTCAATTTACTTTGAGATAATTGATGAATCTATTTGTCTTTGTAAATTTTGATATAAATTCATCCATCTTAATGTTTTTACAAATTTGTTCATTAGAATTTTACTCTGTATTAGTGTTCTCTTTTTGTATCTATAGTTATATTGTTTTTCCCACTTCTTTTCGATTTACAAAAATATTTGTTTGTTTTGTTTGCTTCCCTTCTTTCCCTTTCATTTAGGGAAATAAACAAATAAATCTCAGGGGATTACCTACTGTAGTTGTTTTTAGTTAACCAGTTTTGGGTTTCATTTAGTTGTTTTACTGTTGTCTTTCTTGTTATTATTTTCTATTTAATTATTTCTAGCTTTATCTTTATAAATTGATTTTACTTTTTTATTTTGTTTAGTGTTCATTTTTAATTCCACCATGTGGCCTGCGCAGTGGTTTCATTAATGAGGTTCTAGGCATAAAGTTAGGTAGATGAGATCTAAATAAAACACACGGACTCAGTTACCTTATTTCTATTGCCAGGTCCGAGACGGCTCACCTCTCTGGTTCCCTCCTCTAACCGCCCAGCAGGGCAGCAAGGATTACTCAGGGCTAGCAGGAGAAAGAGAGTTTGAACACGCCTGGGAGTAGCCTTTTATTGGGGAACAAGAGATTCAGGGGAGAATTCCATCCAATGAAGGTTGAGGGGGCCTGCACTGCAAGGTCAGGGTCAGTGATTGGGTCCCCGGGGTCAGTGGTCAGGCACACCCCCACACGGATGGGCTCTCTCATCAGGAAAGGGCTGGGAAAGCTTCGACACAGCCAAAGCGCCTCAGACCCTTAATGGGAGCCACCCAATCACGTGTCAGAAATGGCTTCCCACAATTTTTTGATAATTTGCATTGTTTTATGTTATATAATTAATTCATTTATTTTAAGCTTTACTTAATAGTAGTAACACACTATCCAAGCAAAACACTATACAAATTTCACTGAATAAAACTTTATTTGTATTTCATAGATATTTGAGAGTTTTTTGTTTCAAAATGTTTTTAGTTCACATTCTCATTGTTGATTTCTCTTTTATGGAATTATTCCTGTCTACTTGTTTTAAAAGATTTTCTTCATGATCAAGTACATGTTTGTTTTTTATCTATTGTTCTATAACAGACAACACTAAAAGTTGGAGATTTAATACATCAATGGTTAATTATTTCTCATTGATTTTTGAATTGACTGGGCTCAGCTGAATTGTTCTTCAGCTATTATATGCCTTACATGACTTCAAGAGGGCTTGCTTTCAAGCTAAAATCATAAAAATCTGAATCCTACCTAGGACTATTCTTCCAAGTATCACGTTCCATTCAACTCTCCTACTACTTGATTGCTCATCGGTATTTATTTGCATTTTTGTCCAGAGTTTATGGTTGTTAGCTGTAGCATGGCTTGTTTAGTGGAAACTTGTTCTGACATACCAGAAGCATAACTGGGGACTTTAGATATGTTCCTCTATTTTTCATCTGATAGACAATTTCTGAGATCTTTCATGTGTAATAGAACTCATTCATTCAAACAAAACCAGTGGTGTGTAAAGACTCATTTGGAATGTTTCTATTTAAATATTCAGGTCTAGAGAAAAGAAGAAATAAAGTGTTTAATGTACATCGAATTTACCAGATTCTGATCAATTTATTGCCTATGGGAAATCTTTAGCTAATATCTACCCAAATCTGTGCCTGAGAAATATGGAGTTGAATGTGTGTGTTCAAATCATTATTTTGACTCTCTATGGACTTTAGAAAAGTAGTAATTATAAAATAAATTAATTTAAAAATACTCATGTGAAGAACTTTTTCTCTTATTACTTCCTAGAAACGAGCAGATGCTCTGGAAATTGAGAACAGAGTTCTTCAGGAACAACTAAAACAGGCTTTACAGGTAGAGGATATCACATTACTTGAAAATTATTATAAATGAAGAACATATTCATAATGAACTTTTCAAATGAATAATTGCAGTCTTATAAATAAATAGATTTATATATTATACTATTCTATGAATTTTAAAATACTACTTTATGCAATGTGAATATATTAATAAAATATAATATTCACTCTTATCAAAATCAGTAAACTAGAAAAAAGTATACTTTCTAGATTTTTTTTTTTTTTTGCAGGGGTTGAGGGTACCAGAGATCTGTGAGCCAGATCTCCAGCTTCATTTTCTATTTTATTTAGAGACAAGGTCTCACCATGTTGTTTAGCACATTGCTTTTTCTGAGGCCGGCTTTGAACTTGCAATCCTCCTGCCTCAGATTCTCTAGCTGCTGGGATTACAGGCATGCAACACCATACCCAACAAAAGTAATAAAACAAAGCAATCTCTTTCAAATTCAAAGAAAATATACTTGAAATTGCAGGCATTTCAATAAAACTCCGTAAAGTGAAGATACTTACTCTCATGCTAATTTTCAAATTCTAGCTACTAAGATGAGAAATGAAAGAAACCACAAATGTTTTAATAAATGGATAGACAAAAATATAATGATTTGTATGCTATATAAATTCATAAAAATATACAATTTAAATAACAGTGATAAATTAAAAAATTGGCTGGAACAAAATAAGATAGATTTAGAATAGAGAATAATAAAGCAAAAGATTTTATTTTTATCCAAAATTTTTTAAATGTAATTATTCCTTTATAATTAAGAAATTATAAAAATTAGTATAGCATGTTATTAAGATAGCATATTAAAAAAAACAATGCAGAGAGCTTTATATGAAGAAAAATTACAGAACTTTACCAGTGATACAGATGAACAGTGAAGAAATAAAAATTTATAATGGGTTTTAGAAAATTGATATTGTTAGTATTTTGATTTCCATATACCCCAAATTGATATACCAACTTAAAACAAATACTTTTACATACAAATGGAATTATTTTTGAATTTAAAAGTTAATATAAGATAAAAGGAGATAAGAAAATGGTAATTATACAAAAGAAGAGCAAATAAGGAGGACTCACTCATCAACATATAAATAAATCTTTAATAATTAAATCACTGAGATTCTGGTTCTGGTACTGAATGGAAAGTTCAGAAACAAATTCAAAGAAATATAATAATTTAGCATTTTATATACTTTTAGTTATTAGAAGTTTTCATAGAAGGATATAGTAGCCATACAAAATAAACATTAAAGGAAAATAGCTAGGTTTCTCTTTCATGAAAAACCAAAATAAATTGCATATTGTTTTAAGATCCAAAAGTAATAAATGTACTATGAAGATATTAGAATAAACACTGGATAACAGCTAAATGGTATTGACTAAAGTAAACACCATACCCCACACTAATGTTAATAAATTTAATTTTATATAAATTTAAAACTTTTTATAATAAAAAAACAAGATATAAAGATAAAAGGAAAATATTTTTATTTTATATGGAGATGTTTCACAAACATATAAGAAATATGGACATCCTTTGCCTAAAATATTTAAATAAAACAAATTGGAAAGACATAATTCAGAAATGCTAATAAATCTAAGCAAGAATATACAAATATATTCAACCTCACTAATTATTGAATCAATGCAACTTAAAGTAACAGTGGAGTAGGTTTTTTTAAACCTAACATTTTGGCAAAAATTTAAGGAACAGAAATACCTATATTTCTTAATGGATGCTGAAATGAATAATCTTTCACATATTTCTATTTTCACTAAGAATTTGTATTTTTCTGAAAGAAAATTCATAGCAAAAGTCTTAGAAAGCTATAGTCATTTTGTTATTCAAGTTCTAAAAATTTAGAAAAAGAAAAAAGTGTTCAGAAATTTTATGCTAATGTGTAAAGTAATATTTTTTTAACTGAAAAGGTTTTGAAATGATTTAGAAGCTCACTGATAAGGAATTTACTAAATATATTATGGTATATTACTAAATACATTAGCTGGATGTGGCAGCTGGAAGTTTGCTGGGGCCCCTTCGGCTGTGGCTCTCAACAGTTATCTACTCTGGTAAATGTATGTTTATTGTCATAGAAACATACCTATGATATTAGCATATTATATGACTATGAATAGTATGATTCAATATAAATAAAAATTAAATATACACACATATATATATATATACACCAGTATATTTAGAAATAACTTAAAAAATTATGCATCAGAAAGTGATTTTTCTCTTCATGGTAAGACTTTTTTTGAATTTTATTTTTATTTATATTATTTCTAATAAAAACTATAAAAAGAGACATTTTAAAGAGAAATTTATTTCTAGAAGGAATAAATAGCTTAGTTTCCAGTTTCTTTCATTCTTTGTTATTATGGTGGTAATTGTCCTGCTTATCTACCACTTTTAATAATAAATACTTGTTATTTTTATTTTACCATTATAATAGAGTCTTAAAAGATAGAAACTTGGAGAAACACCTATGTTTTAAAAAATTGCCCTTAAAAATGGAAGGTTTTGCTAGGCATGGTGGTATACTGTAATCTCAGCAATTCAGGAGGCTGAGGAAGGAGGATCACAAGTTCAAAGCCAGCCTGTATCAAAATAAAAAATGAAAAGGGCTGGGATGTGGTTCAGTGGGTTCAATCTCTGGTACCAAAAAAAAGTAAAAATAATAACTAATAATAATAAATGAAAGTTTTCGATTTTTAGCAGTGAAGGAATATTTATTCTTGGCCAAGAATAGAAAAAGTGGGAGATAAATTTGCAAATAAATTTCTCTACCTGTTGAGGATCTAGAAGTTAGAGATAACAGGGGAAATGAAATGAGGTTAGGGCTGGGAAGATTTTCTGGTAATCTGGGTACCACTTCTTTTCACTCGTTTTTTGGTTCTTTTCAGTTATGTCATGGCAGTTGTCAGGTCTCATGGTACTGGGAATATGTGATTTAGCATGCAGATGGATAGTACTGAAGTAATTCTGGCAGACATCTTAGATATAACAAATTTCATCCAACCCCAGAACTTCTGTAACTTGGTCTACTGGCATCGGTTTTGGAGGTTTCAATCCAGGATCTATTGGCCCATTGATTTGGGGCCTGTGTCGAGGCAGTAGACAATGCTCTACAGATTTTAATTTTAATTATCAAACTTTAAACTATCCATTATACCAAAGGTTTAACTTAGTTTCCTCTACCACATCCAGCTCATTTTTATTTAGTAGTCAGATGTGGTAGCCTCACCTGTCATCTTCTTAACTACTCTGAGGGCCGAGGCAGGAGAATCTAAGCAAGACTGGGTGAGTTAGCAAGACCTTGTTTCAAAACAAAAAATAAAATGAGCTGTGATGTAGCTGAGTGGTAGAGCATCTCTGAGTTCAGCTGTCAATATGAAAATAATAATATTAGATATTTTAAAATTGAGAAATCATATGGGCATAAATAAATGTGGATTCCTGGAGGTTGTAGTATTGTCAGGAAAATGTCACAGAAAACAATGCTTGACATATTTTACTTTCTTAAAAACAGGAAGCAGAAAGAAGTAAGCTTCAACTTGACTATTTCCTAAATCAAGGGGTGGAGCTTATTAAAAGTGAAGGGAAGACCAAAACAATGGAAACAGGTTTTGGTAAAACACAAGGTGAACATTCAAAAAATATGCCATTGGACAGAGAGAAAAGGGCAGCATTTGTTTCAAATTCAGGTGAACAAAGGACAAATGATATAATCCAAGAGGTAAGGAAATAACCAAAATAGAAATAGTAGTATGTGTTGTAGTAAATTTATTTTTCATATCATTACTTACTTCTTTTGCCTTTTTTCTTAAAGGTTTATCAATTCATTATTATCTTGTATAACAAACTATAAATTATGTATATATGGATTTTGAATGATCATTCAAGCATCTGATATTTGAGAAACAGAAGAAAACAGGGTTTGAAAACTAATGATATCCTGCTATAAATTAATAAAATTAAATATAAATTCAAAATTATGGAGAAAAAAACTCTTAAAAATGTCTTATTTTTCTGTGAAGACAATAGATTCAGAAACTCTTTTTAACTTTGTTCAGACTTGACCTCCAGGCCATTGTACAGGCTTTTGTAATGCATATCGTAAATATTTTGTTGTATCACACTGATATACACTTTATGCTTTAATTACATTGTACTTAAATTCATTTAAATTACTGTTTCCTGTCACATTCAGGATTTTGAATATTTTATTCTCTTTTCTTGAAATCCTGTTTCTTCACTTCGTCTTTTCTAAAATTCATCTTGTTTAAAAATAAATGAGAATCAAAAAGTAGTAGTATGGCTGGGGATGTGGCTCAAGCGATAGCATGCTCGACTGGCATGCACGGGGCACTGGGTTTGATCCTCAGAACCACATAAAAATAAAATAAAGATGTTGTGTCCACCCAAAAGCAACAAAAAAATTTTTTTAATTCTCTCTTTCTCTCTCTCTCTCTCTCAAAAAAATAGTAGTATTTCACTTATCTTTTGCTGCATAAAAATTACCTCAGAATTGAGTGGTTCAGACAATAGATGTATTAATTATCTCACAGTATTTGTAAGTTAAGGATCCAGATGTATAACTAAAAGGAACCAATAAAAGAAAAATAGGATTTAAGTTTGCCTTAGCCGGGTCCTATGGCTCAGGATCTCTCATAAAGATTTAATCATCATATTCTTTATTTATCTTAAGATCCAAGTAGATCTTAAATGTAGTTAATATGTTGATATACTAATATCAACATATTAACTACATTTAACTTAAGATCCAAGTAGAGGAGAAAGTACTTCAAGTATTTCACTGGGCTCACATTTGAATGCAACATTCATTAGGCCTCATATCCCTGCTGGCTGCTGGCTCGAGGTATCAGTACTTTTTCATGGGGGTTTCTCCATAAGAAAGCTCACAACATACAAGCAAAGGCAGAGAGACATAGAGATCAATAGATGGAGACAGAAAGAAAGTGAGGGAGGGAGGAAGAGAATGCCTTAAACCTAATTTCAGAAATGACATCTCATCACTTAAATCATATCACTTTCATTAGAAGTTTAGAAGTAGTAGCATTATGAACAGTTCACAAATAACAATATATCATAGGCATGAATACCCTGAGGCAGGGAACAATGGAAGCTGGCTATTTTAGAGGCTTCCTACTAAACATAGATTGGTATGAGATTGTGATAACTCCCAAACTGAATGCTAAATTAAGCAGTTTGATCTTCAATACTCAGGAAAGGAAGAAATACTGAAAGTTTTGGTAAATGAATAATAAGTAAGATCTATGTTTTTAAACATAGGAAGTAATTATACCATTGATGAGGCAGATGGAATCTTCTCTTTCATTGATCCTATAATTAATGAAGTCTTTTGTGTATATTGTAAATATGAACTTATTTAAATGTATTTTTTTTTTGCTAATTTAACTCTTTTGGAAGCTATGACATTGCTGTATCAAAATAAAGCTTTCTCTAAGGTTAGAAACATCCAATGCTCTTGGATCTGGGTTTCACAGAGATTCTAGCTTGTTACCCTGTGCTATGGGGAATGGAAGCCTAAAATCTAAAAGGGGTAAAGAAGAAAATATTTGGATTTCTTCTACTAGACACTAAATTATATTATACAAAGGTCTGACACACACACACACACACACACACACTGTGTGTGTGTGTGTGTGTGTATATGACATTTTGGAAAAGTAGTTCTTATATTGTTTTCATATCTGCTTTTAAGATTTTTTTTGTAGAAGAGCCATCTTTTTAAAATTAACTATTACATCTTCTGTTAAGAACTATCAAGATTATATACAAACCCTTAGTGAAATATAGTAATACTTTATAAGAATATAATGAGGATAAAATAAGGTTTATGAACTGCTTTTCTATGTTGTGAAGCACTATGTAAATGTTTTATTGTATCATTATTTAGCTCTGTCCTAGTTTTCTGTGTAGAGTGTAGGAAAATCCCTTTTGATATGTTAATTAGTATCAAGGCTAACCATTTTGACATATAGACACAAAATGTATAATGGCTCAAACATTATACTTTATTTCCTTGTGCTAATAGTATAAGAAGTTAAAGGTCAGTATTCAAGGTAGAGAGTTGTCTCCAAGGCCATTCAGGTATCCTGACATGTGCAGTCTTTACCATCTTAAATGTGATGTCTTGTACCACACTAGGCATAGATATCAATTATCAGAAGAACAAACAAGAGTAATTTTCATTGACAAGGGTGGAAGTGGAACATATAATTTTCTTTCATATTCTCTTTGCCACATTTAACTTCAGGGGGAATTTAGGAATATATACTAGCAATGTGAAGAAAAGAAAATTAGTTTGGTAAACACAAATTTGCACGTAGGTAAGGATAAGCCAGCTAATCTCTGCATAAAAGAAACCAAGTTAGATGAAATTCAGGCCTGGAGTAAAACCTAGAATCAACATTTATGGTGTAGGGAAATATGTATCATGTTCCCAAGAGATAGTCTATTAGTGAAATCACATTTTTAAAATCACAGGTTTTATATATTTTAATCACACACCTCAATAAATATAGTGTGCATTCAGTTCATACATTTTATAAAAATTTATAAAAAGCAGTACTATTAGGTTTGTATATTGTATGTATTAGCCTTACAAACTCTTCCAAATTGATGTTGAAAAATGATTATATAATTAATATATGTTTAAAGTAATTTTATTTACTAAAAGTGTAAAGCCCTATTTGCTCTTAATTTAGAAAAGTAAAGTATCATTTGGTGACCTGTTCTCCTATAATGTCTATTCCAATGACAAAATATGGTAATTTATTATCTTTTTTTGATAACCTTAGTATTAAACAACTGTCATATTAAAAAAGTATTTTGAATGATATTTTTAAATGATCTAATGTAAATATTTTATATGTATTTAGTATATTAAGATGTGTTATTATCTTTATCACAGATCCCAATCGTCCAAAATCAAAGACCAATTGAAGAAAGGTAAAATATTTAAAAATTTTTGTTCTTTTTCTTATTTTATAAGTTCATACATCTGTGATGAAAATATCCAATCAAAATCCAGTGTCTAAAACTTGTTGATTTACATCTTTGCTTATAATATTGTACCCATATATTTGAAGTACATTTTTTTGAAACACATTTTAAATAGAGAAAAGTGTGAAACTTTAGATGTCAAAGACTGAACAATTTTAATTCAGTGAAAAATCAAAAAGTTTAAATGAAAAATTTGAAGTAAGAACATAAGCAATTAAATTTCCAGAGAGTAGGAACTGCCCCTGACCTTTGTTTCAAGTTTAGTTATCAAAATTCATGACCTAGATTAGTAGGATTTTTTTTTTTGATACTGGGAATTTAACCTAGGAACACTTTACTACTGAGCCAAATCCCCAACCCTTTTTATTTTTATTTTGAGGAAGGATCTTGCTAAGTTTTCCAAGGCCTCTCTAAGTTGTCAAGGCTGACCCTCTAAATTGCAGTCCTCCTACTTCAGCTTCCTGAGTGACTGTGATTACAGATGTGTACCACCATGCTTGATATGACTTATATTTTTAAATAACTCACTTGAAAACATTTTTGAATGTGATTTTTTTCTCAGTTACTTGATAAATATATATGTGTTAATATATATTTATAAACATATATAAATTTAAATATATATTGTTTATATTTATGTATTATATACATACAAATGTACATAAATGTTTGAGTTTATTGATTCATCCAGTTAGAAAACTTGTAGTATTCCATTGTGAGTCTGTATGATTAGCCATATTAATAGTAATATGAATAGCCATAGAAATAGTAAGCCTGAACTACAGGTATTAGTAACAGCAAATTCTGTCATTAAGAGTTACATTGTTATTTGGTGAAAATAAATTGTGTTAATGTTTCCTTTTTTGTTGACATAAATTATTGAAAATTCAAATCAAATATACATGAGGAATTTGTTTACTCCTTAATTTTACAGAGCCTAATGTGTAAAATTTTTTTGGTTTTGATTACCATGTAGAAAAGAAAAAAGAATTACCTACAAATATGTATTTCTGTCCTTTATTACCATTTTTAATATTTCTAGATTGTATATCTAGATAAATTACTAAGTATTAGGTAGTAAGTGTGATGATTAATGGTCAAAGCTTTGAAAAGTTCCATTTTTCATGTTTGTAGAGATCATATTTTTTAAAGTGTATATTTTTTATATTTCAAAAGAAAATTGAACATTGGTTTACTGTTTTGCTTTGCAAACTTATGGGTAGCTTTCTTGTAATGTATTCCTTTACATTTTATATGTGAATGGTCAGCATTGTGAGCATTTAGTTGTTGCTGATGAATTTGGTAGACTGTACACTAATGCATCTCAGAAAATATAAACATTGCCTTTAAGGGGGGGGGAAAGGCATTTTAGGACTGGGACACAGCTCACTTGAGAGAATGCTTGCCTAACCTGCACTAGGCCTGGGTTTTATCTTCAGCATTGAAAAAAAAAATATTTTAAAGAGAATTTCTACACTTAAAAAGGACATAATAAAGCAGCCTCAGTCACCTTTCATATGGTAACAACAGACTGAGGATCATAAGGAATGTAAGATTAGGGGGAAAGAGCATAGAATATCAAATAATTCCTCTTAAACTTGATTGATTTAATACCAAATAATTCCTCTAGAAACTTGATTGATGTAATATTCTCTAACCTCAGGAGGAAGATTATTTTAATTCATTTCAATTCAGTTGAGCTCTAATGAGGAAGTATTAACAGTTTATTCTACGCAAGGCATTGTGCTAGATTTTATGGGATATAAAGGGTGGCAAATATATGGCCATTGCCTTCAATGAATTAACTATCTGGTAAAGTGGGCTAGACATGACAGAATAAGTAGAGTGTAATAAAATGATGCATTCTACAAGAAGTTACCAAAATGTTCTATGAAAGGGAAAATGGTTGCCTCGAATGAACAAGGCCCTGGGTTAAATCCCAGCACCACAAAAAAAAAAAAAAAAAAAAAAAAAGAATGGTTATTTTTGTATCTTAACATACAAAAAAGCAGAACATTAATTCATGCCTATTTTCTCCATCTACTAGACAATTAATTATTAAATTTACTCATTCATTCAGTTATTAAACCCAGTCATTCAACAGATGTTTTTGACACCTTCATATGCCAAGTATTTTCTAGATATTCTAGATTACTTCTGGCTACATAGCATTTAATTTAAGAAAAGAGTCGGGTTAGATTTTACAGGGAATATAAGCAAAGGATTTTCCAAGTGGACAGAACTTCGTTTCAAGGCAAAGATGAGGGTGCTTAGAATCTACACAGTGTGGCTAGAGAAAGGCCAGTCATTGATTTTGTTTGAAGTCTTGATTAAGGACAATAATGGGAAATAAGACATGAAATAGGCTGTTTTGGTTTGATAGGTTTTATAGAATTGCCCATAACAGCTTTAAGTTAAATATTGCTAAATATTATAAAAGTTCAAAATATAAAGCACAAAGCACAATATTATTTATCAACCTTCATTTTGGGTTACTTCTTAGATCCTAATAGAATTTCTGAAATACTTTGGAAAAGTCTCCTAACCTTCAGAGAGTGGATGGGAGTGAAGTAAGGAGACCCAACCTGAGCAGATACATGGTATTGCTTACAATAAAGTACAGTTTTTTTTCCCACTTTGCAGCATTTAACAATTTATTTTGGCATAGGGAATAAATAGCGCCAAATATTTAAACAATAGATTTTAATAATTTATTGTTTCCCATCATATGTGTTCTTATGAATTTCGATGCTGTACCTTTAAGAAACAAAAATATAAACTATTTCTTGGTGGTTTATTTTTCAGATATTCATATCCAACATACTTCTTTTCTAAATCTTTTTGTTAGAACTTGTATGCCCCCAATATTATTTAGGGTTATTATAAAGCACAAAAACATACAAAAAAAGCAGAACATTAATTCATGCCTATTTTTCTCCATATACTAGACAATTAATTATTAAATTTACTCATTCATTTAGTCATTAAACATATTCATTCAACAAATGTTTTTGACACCTTCAAATGCCAAGTATTTTCTAGATATTAAGTTTTGTTGATAAGTAAGGCAGATAATATCCCTTTCCTTTATGTGCTTATATTTTAATAGGAAAGTTAGACAATAAATAAAAATAAATGAACAAGATAATTTCAGAAGTCAATAAGTGAAAATAATAAAAATACCTATCAAAGAGTCACAGGGAATAATAACTTAGATCAGATAGTCACTGAATGTATTATTTAATGACAAAGAGGATTTCTAATTTTGAAATAAAAAATCTCATAAAATGTTTTGTTCTTTTCTAGTTTTTATCAGAATAAACTCCTATAAATGAAAAGTTATATTACCATTGAAAGCTCTAGAGATCTCATAATATTTACTATTTTTGTTACACTTATAAGGAACTTATTACTGGTATCTACATTATAGGCATGTGGTAAATTTTTGGAAGAAACCTAATAATCTGAAAAGCAGTAGAGGTACAATATCTCCTGAATTGATATTATTCCACAGAGAGGTATATTTGAACTGGGACAGCTGGATTCACCATAGAAATTCTAGGGGAATTGGGAGAGTATAGTAAGACCTACTTAACCATGTAGCAGTGAGAGCTTCCTGACTGGGGGAATGGGCATAGCATAGTCCTGATAAGCTTGCTCTGCTGAATAACCAAAAGGGAGAAGAGAGAGAGCATCAGGGCCATCCAGAAATAAAGACTTATCTCTCCACCATTGGGAGTCTCATTGATAAGTCTCTCCATTAGCTCTGGTTGTTACCTGGTCCTGAATATGCTAATTTCCACAGTATTGTCTAGGAGAAAATTATTAATAAGATCACCAGGTGGGTTAGGTAAAGGTGCAAAGCTAAAAATAATAATAAACTCACATTATGTGCTCTAATTCCTGGCTAGCCACAGAAAAGTGTTTTGGGAATGTCTATTAATATCTGGAATAGGAAAGAGAAAGTCATTTTTCACCTCCCTTGAGGGCTTTTTCCCAGGGTCAGACAAGTTCATGTCTAAAAAATATTTATTATTTCTCCAAGAAATGAGCCATATTGGTGTTTGAAGTGATTGATTTAGCAACGTCCTACCACTTACCATGTACCATTAAAGTTCAATTGCAGTGTCAGAAGAGGAGGTCTGCCAAATCACCTGATATAAAGACAGTGTCTGTCTTTTAAATGAACAATATGTTGTATTCATCATGTACTGAGGTCAAAGCAAGGGGTTAAAAAAAGAAAAAAGAGTATATTATTTCTCTTGACTCCTAACTCCTAAATGCTTTGGAGTTCAAACATGAAGGAGGGGCCTTTAAATAATATGACAACCTATAGCTTGTAAATTATCAGGGAATGCTGGACCAACAAGTACTGTGGAGGTGTTTTTTAAAGAGGCTGGCTTAATTAGCAAATGAAATAAACTTGATAGATGATGGTGGGTTCTGTGTCTTTGAAATACTTTGAAAGATGTCATTTTCTTCCTTCATTGTGCTATGAATTCAAACAGGAACCCAATAAGGTAGTCATTATACATTCTTGACTGCTTTTTTCATGTCTCATATTTTCCTCTAGATTCAGTCCCTTCTCTTGGTATCTCCATATTAAAAATAAAAATCGATTTGTGACTAATTTGTTGTGCCTATTTCCTTTGGCAGGAGATACCTCAGAAAACTATGTGTTTAAGAAGTCTGTCGTAGGTGTCCCAATGGCCTTACCATGAAACTGTCCAATAGCAATGATTCGTGAATCATTGTACAAATTTAATTCAGTCATTCTAAGGCAGTTTGTGCTCTATGGACATGAATGATGCCTGAAATTCACCCAATTTTGAAGGATATTCAGATGCCATGGAATGTCAACAACCTACTATTGCTATAGTAGATAAATGCAGTATTCCATAAGATTTTGTCACCTTTGAGAGAGGCTATCGCATTAGTTAATCCTA